CTACAGAACTGAACTCCATTGACTTCTAACTTAGAAATAGGGAGTGAAATGGTAGAGCGTGTTGATCACTTTACTTATATGGGAAGTTGCATCAGCCCCCAATGTCAGTACGGATACAGAAGACCTGTCTGGCATATTCCAGTTTACGCCGTCTCTGGTGTAGACGTGATATCCGGCTGGCTGTTGATCAAAGGGTGTGTGTACTGCTTAGCAGTTCGCTCCGTCCTCCTTTATGGCTAGCGGTGAGACCTCCCTATTGATAGTGGAAGACGTGAAAAGGCTAGCTGTCTTTAATCATAGGTTCCTGAATTCTATCTCCCGTGTGAAGTGATATAATAAGGTGAGCAACATTTAGGTTAGGCATAAGTCAAGTGCTAGGTAAGGAGGCGAAATCAATAGACGAGGCTGTGAAGTTACGTCGACTGAGATGGTTAGGACAAGTGTTACGCAAGCCAGCCTAGCCGTCGCCTTCCTCAATGGGCAATGTTAGTTGACATGGGGTCAGGTTTGCAAATAGCCAGTGGTGGTCAAACCAAAACATGGCCTCATCAGTCAACGAAATCCGCAACAGTTAGTTTAAGCCACGTAGGCGGGTATAGGCCTTTTGGTTGGAGTCCACAGGATGGCAAGAACCAGTGGCTGGAGACAATGGGTGATATGGCTCAAAGTCATTCTCAATCTCTGGCGCAGATGCATCCACTCCTCGTGACTTATAATACCTAAAAATGGTACATTGTTCTTCGATATAACTATTCTTTTTGCCTCATATCTCTGTTTACTCTCTCTATTTTACATATATCTTTACTTCCTTCTTCTCTTGCCCTGTGTGCTGAGTGCAGTGTGGCGAGTCGAACTGCTGCACATCTGTGCAAACTTCTACGTTGAAACATGACAACCAGTACTGGATATGTCAAATTCTACCTACCATGGAGTGGCAAAGTGGCTAGGTGAACTCCTCCAACCGCTACACAAGTTGGTAGTAAACCATAGTGTTAAAGACGTTTTTGAATTTATTGCTAACGTGAATGATATCATTCTAAATGGGAAGCAAATGCTTTCCTTAGATGTAGCGTCACTGTTTACTAATGTACCACTTATGGAGACTGTGGAATGCATATGCCAACAGATACTAGAAAAGCAGATTGACATCGGGATTCCAGTTATTAGTCTGAAAGAGTTGGTTTTAAGATGTACTATGAATGTACATTTCATATTCAACAACCTTTACTACAGGCAAATCGACGGTATTGCCATGGGTTCTCCATTGGGGCTAATTTCGGCAGATTTCTTTTTAGCCAAGATTGAAAATGCTCCATTGAGACAAGTAATAGAGAAAACTGATTCTTATTTTCGTTATGTTGATGATACGTTCATTATTCTTGATGTGAAAACTGACAAGAATGAAATGTTAAAAAAGTTTAATGATGCACATCCATCACTGGTGGATTACATTTCCTTGACGTCCAATTGAGCAGAAGAGAGGATGGTTCACTCAAGAGAGATGTCTATAGAAAACCTACATCTGTAGGACAATATACACATTTCCTCAGTTTTGTACCAATCCGATATAAAATCAATTCGGTCAGATGCCTTACGAATAGAGCAAGATGTATTTGTACAGATGACTCCCTAGAAAATGAGCTAGGATATATCCAAAATACGCTGGTCCAAATGGGTTATCCCAGTAGATTTGTTAGTAGACACATGAATACCAGGTACCATAAAGAAAAAGTGACAACAGTTAAAAAGAAAGAACTGTTCATGAAACTTCAATTTAATGGGGACGTGGCTTGTGAAGTCTTACATCTGAGATTATCGAGAGCAATAAAACGGACTTACACTACCTCCACTCTTTGTTTGTCATTTTCCAGCCGACCAATTTTGATTGCTCAAGTGAAAGATAAGCTACCTGGCTGTGCCACTTCTATGTGTATCTATAAATTTAGTTACTCCTGTGGAGAAAGCTATATAGGGCGAACAACTAGACAGCTTAACAAACGCATTAATGTGCATCTTCCTTCATGGTTCGGAAAAGGTCAAATAAAATCCATACGAAGTTCTATTTTGGCTCATTTGATTGATAGCGGTCACCAAGTGGACAAAAATAGTGCTTTCAAAGTTATCTATCGCATTCCGTCGAGTCTTTCGAAAGGAATCAGAACCCGTCTTTTACACCTAGCCGAAGCTATGGGAATTCGAGAGAACAATCCCAGTCTTTGCATACAAAAGAAGTTTGTTCTATCTTTGTCTCTCTCTCTTGGCCTAGGTGAATTGTATTCAAAACCCTCCCACCCTTTCTTATTTTCGATCTCCTTTGTACTTTTATAATATTTATTTAATCTCTGATTATCGTTCCACTTCACCTTTTAAGATTTGACCTAATTTATTTATACACTTATATACATATACTATCTTTGTTATTCTTATCACCTGCATAAACCTTATTATCAATATTTTGTTATCATTATAATCATCGTTATTAATTTCCAATTATTGGTTAGGTAGGGATTTTGTTTAATTGCATGGAGGATTTCATCATGAGCTGACATCAGTTAGAGAACCACTGGAAAACCTGGGAGTACCGGAGAGCTGTTTCGTCCTAGTTTGTGACTCTTCATCAGTACGCGTCCACCGGCATTCGAACCCAGGACCTTCTGGTTACAAGGCTAGCGAGCTCGTAGACCATTGAGCCACTGGGACCCGATCCAATGGTCCTTGAATTCTAACTTCTGCCAATTCACGACATAGCGCGACCATTTCGCAATGTCTTCTTAGATGAGTTACTGCCTCATCTTCAACCTGCTGTACCCTACTGGTCACGGCTTCCCACTAGAACCCCAGTCTTTGTATAATTGGTATTAAAACATTGGCGGTTCAGTTTTCCTTCAGTTTACTGTTTCGTCAATATGAGCGACGAAACCAACTCACCATAATATACGAATTACCGTTTCTTACAGACTTTCTCATATAACTGCAGTTGCATCTGAATACATAATCATCAATAACCCTGCAATACTTTTGCAGAGTCATTATTGCCTCCACATGTGCATGTATTTAGTCCTGTCTATCAACCTAGTTTCCACACAGAAGTCAAAAACCAAATCTGTGTGAAACTTGCAACTTAGATCATAAACAGCATCCATCTGTAATACTGAGTGATCTGATTGGTTGGTTCAAGGTCATTTGACCTTAGAGTAGATTGTTTACTCTTGCCGAATACTTTGTCCACCCACTATAATTCCAAAAAGGCAGACATGATTTGATTTAGAATAACTTTTCGTATCGTTCCCTGTATCTGATTAGTTCTTGTAAGCCAACTTTTGAAAGACCTTTTAGATGACTATGATACTTTAACTTCGCCATGAAATGCTATAGCAATCAATTTTTAGTGTCAGTAAAACTTTATGAGATTTTGCAGTTCATCTTGGAGTGGAGTATGGAAGTGGATTCTTCCCTCTTCTTCATATACCCCAGTTGATTAATTATTTATGATTCATCTTATTCATTTCTTGTAAAAAGGTTCTATTAAAAAGTTTTTTCTATAGTTTGGTTTGTAAGGATTAGTTATGTTGAAGGAACAGCAGCTGTCCAGTACTCCCTGGTTTTCAATGGTTCTCTAACTGATATCAGTCCGTGATCAACTCTATTAAAAAGTACTAGTAAGTAAATAGTGTTTTTAGCAAGAAAAGACAAAGAAGCCCAGAAAACAGATCTTTTCAGCGATTTCATTTAACTAAAGGTAAACAACATATTTCTGTGGTATTCAAATACACTGGAATAAGTGTGTCCAAATACTAGTTCATTCCTAATCCAATGTCTTTTGAACGACTTACCAATATGTTTATAGTCAGATTCTCACTTTCATACATAGTTGCAATTATTATTTAAATTAAGATAGGAAGGCTAAAGGAGATAATTTTCAGCTTGTTATGAAAGGGTCATAGAAATAAAATTGCATACGATTAGGTAATAGTTGAGTAGTTTATAAAATAGATTTAAAGAAACCGGAATGAATGGGATGATCATAGAAACAAATCGAAAAAATACTTTTTATAAATGAAGATGAAAAAGTAAGTGCAATGTAAAAGTGACAACTAAGGAGCCAAACATGGAACTAGTTCTATTTTCAATACTGCACATATGAAATTAGAGATAGACTACAGGCTGAAAATAATTGTCTGAGTTCAGGTGAAGTTGTTTATGATGCCACCTTGAAACCAGTCTTCCACCAAAGTTCATTGGCTTGCATTGAAGATGAAGTACTGTTAAATTAAGTATTGCGGTGTTGTGTTGTCAGTCAACTTCTTCTGAACTAAATCGGTGGATGGTGACTAGTTGTGGAATCCTGGGTCCACATTTCGTCCTATCTGGGACTCGTCATCTGGATGTGCCTGCATTTCCCAGTGAATGATGGTGTTCTTACTGAGGCTCAAACCCAGTACCCATGGTTTCAAACATCAAAGCATTATCCACTAGACCACTTGGGCGACGAGAACTACCTCTTGTGCAATGGGTATCAGTAATTATTTAGTTCACCATTCATCGGGGAATGCAGGCACATCCATATGACGAGTCCTAGATGGGACGAAATGCACAGCCTAAATTACGTTGCTAGTCACCATCCGCCGATTCACCTTAAGTTAATAATCAAACGTCGCCAAAGCATATGCAGAAGCAGCCGACATGTCAACTTGGGGCCAAGCACTTTGGGCCAATTGAACGTTTCTACAATTCCATTGTTTATACAGTAATCAGTGGTTATATACTATAACCAGCGATACATATCTAGTTGTATATACGAATGAAAACTAGGTAGTGAAGTTTAAGTGATATTATCAAATCATACATTATTTACATTATTCAAGATCGATAGAATCCACGTTGATAATGTTATAATAGGTAGTATCGTGTGTGTATGTGTGTACGAGATTACAGCAACAGTGCACGCATTCTGTAATTATCTACGACCAAGATGACCTATTTCATGTCAGTATATGAGTGTGAATGTGTGGGTGGGTGAATGTGTGTAGTAGGAGTTGTATTTAATGCATCCAGACTCTTAAAAGTGGTGCGAAAAATACAAATTACACAGAAAAGTGACAAATTCATGTTTCATCATTATTTATCGTCCTATTTTAAATTATAAATAAATATAGAAGTTGCAAATGTGATCAAACTGAAATTTCGTTTGGTATAAAACAGTTTGTATATTTATTATCAATGTCTCACAAATTCCTTCTAATTTGGATAGTGTTGTACTATAGCTTTGGTCGAGTTGTTTATGGAGACGAAAAAAGTGAGTCTAATCAAGTTTACTTACTTGTATCCAATGTATATATGCATATTACACATGTAATTCAAATTTCCCAAATAACTATCTGTTCACATTTGAACTGTGAAATTTCTGTGAGTTATATACCGCAACAATCAAAGAGTTTGTAGTTCGTTCACTTATTTGGGGGGGGGGGGAGGGGTAAATTTCCATTGAAGTACTATATATTATCTTTACTATTTGGCTACCATATCGAAACATAGTCAAAGAGGTAAATTGCATTAATGCATTTGCAACCGTAATGAGTTGTTACAGTGAAAAAGACATTCGTAGATCGCTTTGAATGTGCAGAAATATCATCATATCTTATACACGGATTCCTTTTAATGACTTCAAATAAAGTAAGGATGAAAAAGGATGCATAGTTTATTTCATCAATCGGTATCTTGTCAGTTGCACAAAACCTAAATAATAAAATTGAATAGTTATGTTACAGTTTGAACAGTATTCAGTTCATTGGAGAGTAACGATCATGGTAATAAATGAATCGAAATGTTAGGCAAATATGTAGAATATTGTTGTACTTATATGCTTAATGTGACCGAAGTTTCTCGAATAAAAATCAGGAAGTGGGTGTCAAGAGTAGTTACATGATCATTTAGCAAACGTCATACTTCATACGTCTGACATCTAACCAAATGACCTGAACATTATTCTTTTCAAATTTTTCATAACTCATTTATGTATGAACTATTTTCTGGTGACTGAGGTAACCTTCGATTTTCTATATCTCAACATCTCCTTGCTACTCAATTTTGGGTTCTATTCGGAAAACCTTATACACATTTATACAGCAACATCTTACTGATAATCACTCTAAAAGCTTTTGTATCTCTCAATCAATGAAAATCAACACGATATTGCTTTTACTGACGTTTCGCTATTTAAGGCTGCTAATAGCTTTATCAAAGTATTATTAAACCAGGATTAACAGAATTATACATACCAACTATACCATCGTTCTTCAACATGAGGTAACTTTTACTTCCCCAAGTGGGTGAAATGATAAAGATAATAAACTATGTACAGATTGTTAGATTTGATAAGTGTACAAAATTATAAAAGCATCACTTGTTTACAAAATGAAATTGCTTATCATATTCATGCTGATTTAGTCACTTCATTGGCGTGGGTGAGTGGATGTTGAAACCAGGTAAAATTCTGTCATAGTACATCATTCCTATTCAGACAGTTTGGATTCAATTTGATATGAACTACTTCTGATTTTAGACGCTCTTTTTCATTTCTGAAATTTTTCTGGATTATTTCAATGTTGTCGAAATCACTTTAGTGGCCTAATTCTATGGCGTGTACACTTATGGCTGATGATTTTTCAAGCTTTTCTAGTTCAACTGGATTTCTCGGTGGTTGAACAGACGCTCTGCGGTGTTCATTTCTTCTGATCTTGATTTCTCGCGATGTTTGTCCGATGTATGTCGCATCACACTTGAAGTATCTTATTTTAAAGACAATCAGATTGTGAATAATTTGGAATTCGGTCTTTTACATGAATAGGGCTGCTTTTTAGTGTCTGATGTTTTGAAGAAACAGGTTACAAAATTGATTTTGACAGGAGAAATTCAAAATTCACAAAGAACGTCTTATATCAAAAGTAGTTCATATCAAATTGAATCCAAACTGTGTGAATAGAAATGATGCACTATGACAGTAGTTGACCTGGTTTCAACATCCACCGACGCCAATGATGTGACCAAACCAATACATATGTGATAAGCAATGCAATATAAGCATGTCTAAACCTTTTCTAACGAATATGACTTTATCACAAACTCAAAGATTGTGCATATTGACAGCACAACGGAAAAGCACAAAATGGCGTTGAAAAAATTCGCATTTATACATATTGAAACAGAATAATTTAACATAAGAATTGGCACTACACAATTATCAAATCCAATAATCCGTACATGGTTTGTTATCTTTATCATTTCACCCACTTGGGGAAGTAAAAGTTACCTCATGTTGAAGAACGATGGTATAGTTGGTATGTATAATTCTGTTAATCCTGGTTTAATAATACTTTGATAAAGCTATTAGCAGCCTTAAATAGCGAAACGTCAGTAAGAGCAATATCGTGTTGATTTTCATTGATTGGGAGATACAAAAACCTTTTATAATAATGAATATCTTATACCCAATTCCGAAATTTTCTGAAACTGTTAAAAGTGGACTTGGCTGGGACATATGTTTTACTTGCTTAATATTTCGTATAAAAGAAAAAGCTTTCAGCGAAGAGTTAGGCTTTCGGCGATATCATTCTCAAACTGTACAATTACATATGGTAAATTTTCTTAGCAACAAAAGTAATATTTCCCAAGATGGGTGAGGGGAGAAAATAATACAATTAAGAAACAAAAAGTAAAAATTACCTATTTGGTGTTAAGATGAACCTAGTCTATCTTAACACCAAATTATATTTGCATTCTACTCAATTCCGTCAAGTATATTACGTCACTCAACTTATTGAATTTTGTTTAAGTTCTTACCCGATTAACGCTTTCTACATTGCGTAATTTGTCATCTAAATTTTACGACTTCAGTGACACATCTCGGGAAATATTCTTTTTGTTGCTAAGATAATTTACTATTTACATATATGCGATTGGACAGCTTGAGAATGATATCGCCTAAAAGAGTAACTCTTCGTTGAACACCTTTTCTTTTAAATAACTCAATGGGAATTTTCAAGTTGTATAATATTCCGATTTATACATAAACCATGGTTATTCTTAATGATTATTCCACATTTTATCTCCAATTAACTAAATCACTACGTTCAAACTGTAGTAGAACTATTTAATTTAGTCATTTAGGTTGTTTGCAACTGGAAATCTACTGACTGACGAAATAAACTATGAGTCTGTTTTTATTTAAATTCCGTTACGTTCCCAGTGGAACATAGGGCTTCAAGCTAAAGGCTTGAAGTTTCGGTAGCAGTTGTATGTTTATTTTTACGGGATGGGGTGTCTAGCTTCATGCTCAACCTTCCCTCTTTACCAGTCTTATTACTGGTTGAGCGAGGTAAAGGAGGGCATCAGCAGAGGATCGAACCCCAGATCACATGTGTGGTTGGCGAGCATTCTACCACTGTGCCACCGACAAACAAGAATCTGTTTTATTCTGTATTATGTGTTGTTATTTTATTTCGTTGAATACAATTATTATAGTACAGGCAGATTAGCTGCAAATCTGGATCCTTTTTAAAGAAAGATTTTATTCTTTATCCAATGTTACCGCGTTTATATCTACTAATATGCATTTTTATGTAACGCTTTGAAATATCTGAAGTCAGTATATTATAAAACGAAGTGATTGGTAGTCAATGCTTGAAGTAATAAAAGAGTCATTTAAAGTTTTTCTTAATGCATACTTCGTTCAAGTTCATCATGTGAAACGACTTTTCACTGGACAGACTTCTTATGGAAATAAATCAGTTTCAGTTTACGTGACCCAGTCATGAACTTTGACCTTTTTTATTTAACATGAATTCTATCATTAGTAGACTAAATGTTGACCTCCACTGATTTAATTCACCTTATATATTTAACAACTGTTTAAAATTTGTTAGGCTCAGATGTCTGTTTACCCTTTGTGGAATTCTTTTTAAAAACTATACAATGCTTGTTTTCATCACAAAGTAAAATAAAGCTAAGTACGGAAAAAGAAGCTATGGCTGGCTTACACAGAGTAATGATATGAAAAATCTTGTTTTGATTTTCTAAACACTAGAATTATTTTAAATAGTTTTATTGAGACCGTTAATCTTTGGATAAGTTTAAATAGTACTTCAATAACTAGGAGGGACGATGGCACAACTAGTCGATCAATATTTCGTAAGCATAGAGGTAGTTGACAATATCTTCATTTCGGAATTTTTTCCTATCCAGTATAAATATACGCTAGTGAAATGCCTGTTTTCAAGGTCCCGTAAACTTTTTACGAGAGATACATTACAAGATGAGTTATGGTGTATACATTCACTGTTGTTGGCTAGTGGAAAATTACGTTGTGTCTCAATAACGAAAGACTGCCCCTTGAAAAGACAGCTTCATCATTACCAAGGAAAGCAATATTTATTAAACTACCATTCGAGGGTGATTAAATCATGGAATTGGCAGCCATAAGGCTTCGGTCAACTGCCAACTGGTATGCTTTTTTCTTACATCTCGAAAATTTTAAATTCTTGTATTTGCGATTAAAGGCCGAAATTCTACGAACTCTGCTTCACACTAACTACAAGTTCACCTGTGGTTTCGGGGTAACATTTATAGATAGAACTGATAGAATGTCCCAATTTCGATGAAATGAACACATTCCTGAATTATCATTCAGTCATACAGAAAGTGAAATTATACTTAAACTGAACAGAAGTCCAGCATCATTCGTTGCGAAGCATTTATTATTAATTGTAACTTTAATTCAGGGTTATTAAAGGGGATGGAAGCACTTTGGATTAATCACATGCATCCCAAACTATGTGCACAGAAAAAACAGACTTCAAACTTTGCCTTTGTCGGGTGTGAGGACAAATACTCGCCGAAGACATTGGCTAGCGGTTGCTATATCGTGAATTGGCAGAAGTCAGAATTCATGGGCCATTGGATCAGGTCCCAGTGGCTTAATGGTATACGAGCTTGCCTTGTAACCAGAAGGTCCTGGGTTCGAATCCCGGTGGACGCGTACTGGTGAAGAGTCACAAACTAGGACGAAACAGCTCTCCAGTACTCCCAGGTTTTCCAATGGTTCTCTAACCAATGTCAGCTCATGATGAAATCCTGTAACCAATAACTGAGCAACTCTAAAAGATTTCATTTTATTATCGTGAACAATGCTGGTTGTAAAGCGATAGTAGAAACAACTACTCAGTCGGACAATGCAGATAGATAAACTGGGGATAACGTGGGGTAACACGTGGGTAAAATACTACTGTTACCCATTTCAATTCATGTTGGCAACAGACAAATCACCAACTTTTCCCATTTCACACACACTTTTGAAGGCAATTACCCACATTTTCCCACGCTACACATGTGATTCCCAGAAATACCTCACTTTACTCCACTTTTGAACAGAATGCTGTTCATGTTTTTACACACTTTACCCGAGTTCACGAAATGATATCATCTCTTTAAATATGTTTTCTTAATACCTTATTTAAATAATTTTATAGTGATTCAGTTTGACTCAGTGCCTAAATTATAAAATGAAAAGTGGTTCTGAAAAGGGGTCATTTCTTCCATTTAAAGTTATTCAAAGCGTAAATCTATATTTCCACATAAGTCGTAAAAGAGTATTCGTATATGTAGCAACAAGCATATTGGTTAGTTGAACATTGGTTATAGTTGTTTAGGTATTATGCTCACACCTTTGTTATATTAAATACATATTTGTTTACGCTTAATCGTATGGTTGAACTTACTGATCCCTGAATCATATTGAAAATTAAGTTAACATGTGTACTGATATTTAGATGTGATTGCGGATAGCTAGATTTGTAGTGATTAAGGATACTGAATTATAACCATGATTCACAGTGTTTGTAGTAAAACCCTTGTTTTAGCTTAACTATAGGGGAAAAAGATGTTGTTACTAACTGAAATCTGTTAGAGAACTAAGGCGCAATTGTTTCATTTACGTTTGGGAATTTTCACTGACATGCACCCACGGACCCAAGAGGGATGTATCCTAGGTCTATCAGGTTACGTGGTGAGCGTTTCTATACAAACAGCCGATCAAAATCAAAATGTGCCACTGTCTTCTTCAAATTTTGTCTTTTAATGATATGGAGCAACTGTCATTCAATGTTAGATAGAATCTACTGGGCAAGATTTCTCATTAGAACTCCGGGATATCCATCTTGAATTCCGTATCAATTTGTTTATTAGATATATCGCACATACTGGATAACGTTTCGAACAAAATTTATTGTTCATAATCATATCAATTGACCAGCAGACTGGGGTCTGTCAGGTTATCAGGAGATAGTAATTTAGCGAAGCATAGGATGACTGACCTCATGAAGATGAACAGTTAAAAGGAAGCTCAGCAGTTGCAATAAATGCACTTAAACACACACAGTAGGGGGGAACAGAGCTTCAATTCCGAAAAGTAATATAGGGAGTTGGAAGGAGAAACTGATCACTGAATCTTTTTCCAGCGAATTTACATCTAACACGTGCAATAGGAATGACGAGACCTTGAAATTCAGGGTCATAGAAAATATCACTACTAATGAAATTAAAGGACAAGAAATAATGGAACTACATAAACACATTGAAAAATTATGCGAGCAATAAAGTGTGTTCACTCAATAAATAATGCTGCATTACCGTGTATTTAAACAAATAAAATTATTCTTTGATGGAATTGTACTCTACCACAATACCCAAATTCTATTCGTTTATCAACATAGAGACTGGGTTTGTTTTCTTTGTTCGCAGCTGAGCAGAATTCTGTCGATACTTGTTAATATGGTCAAAATAGTCTTCAAGATGTGACGGAAAAGAAAGTATGTGAAGAGATTTCACACAAGATTTCCGTACTTCTAAATAGAACAGGCTGTTCATATTGGAATGAACCGCCTATAAGGTTTTTATAGTAAGACTGAATCACGTTGTATCCGTTAGTCGTTTGTGATGCCCTTCAGTTATCATCAGCCGTGTTGTAAACTACTCAGCCTGCTTCAAGTTTCGTAAATTTAGTATATGTCATATTTTGAGCAAATGTAAATGTAATGTAAACAGACTGATATGATTATAAACAATAAATTGTGTTCGAAATGTCATCCAGTAAATAATACTATTTCACTGTTTGATTCACATATCTTGAAATTAATCACATCATACAAGGAATTCACTTATTTTAAAAACTGTGAATAATTGGCTTCTAAATCATTTACTGATTCGTACTGACCTGGATGTCTTGGTTGTTTATGGATGCTAATGGAAAGCATTGGTGATGTCAGCCATATATCACCAGCTGACAAAAGTACAATTCACGAGCCATTGAATTCCGGCCCATTTTAATGCATAATTAACGAGCTTAGTCTCATAATTCAACGTCCTCAGTTTTCATCCCTGATGGGTCGTGAATGAGCACCTTTGAAGAGTCCTGAAATAGGACGAAATAAGTGTTCAGTTTTCCCTGGTTTTCAGTGATCCCTCTAGCCAATACTGGTTTGTGAAGAAATCTAACAACTGAAATTACAGTAATCCAAATCGCATAATCTTCATGAAGTTCTAGCTTCATTCAACTGAAGCATACAGTGGGACAGGAAGATAACTGCGAAGTTGACTGCTTGTTTAGTTATTCTGTAGTTGATTTGAATCTGGCGCGGAAACATTTGGTTAACTGTTTTTTTTTCAGAGTAATTAGCTACACATAGACTGTGTTATGCTCTACCAACTATGCCTAAAGTTAATTGACTGAGAAGTCTTTGTTTTCATTCCAAACATATATATATATATATATAGGGATATATACATATAGTGATGTGAATTAATACCATTTTTGCTGATTTGTAATTTTTATTCATCAGTGAATGCCTTCATACTGAACTTGGTGAATTTCACTGGTCACATCTTATTTCTTGAATTTGTTAAAACTGATCTTCAAGCTGGTTACAAATGCCGACTGAATGTTTGATTATTGATCGATTTTGTGGTGTATTTATCCAAAATCTAGAATAAACTAGAGAGCCAAGGAAAATTATGTATGCGTCATTAGTCTGTAGGTTCAATTAGGATAGTCTAGAGTTGAAATACCATATTATTAGGTATCATAATAACCCAGACAGTGGCAACTTGCATACCTGGATTTCGCGCTTGTCTTGACTTATCAGTAAAGCGTATATGAAATTTTCAGAACATATTCGTATCCTCAGATATTCAGACCTATTTTATTCTTTTCTGAAGTCTGAGACAACCTTCTGTGATGGGGCTGCTAATCGGTTACCGAACTGTCACCAGTGTAGCCATCTTATCCAAGAAATGTCGATTGAATTCTTTTGATTCGGTAAACAATGCGGTCAGTAAACTGATGTTTTGGATTTTGCGATATAATTTTGTTTCTTTTGTTTAAGTCATTTTGTGGTGTATCTTAAACCCTATCAAACCACACTATTTTGAATATTTCTAAAGGAAATTTTATTATTATTATTATTAGATGGTTGGAGGCAATCGGCAAGAAGCCTTTGACCTAGGTTTCGTGATCGTTGGCATTCGTCAGCAAGGGGTATCTGGAATCCTGGAGGAAATCATGTCCCTCCTGCTATCCAAACCCATGTCACTCAAAGCTGCAGTTAGGGACGTTACCACTGAGCTATTCAGACTCAGTGACATTGGTTTCATCAAGACTGAAGATACACCTTGCTGATGCGAATGTCGACACGCACTGAACCTCTGTCCAAGGCTTCCTGACAATTGCCTCCAACCATATAATAACAACAATTCAGAGTGTACTGTGATGGTAAGCCACCTAGCATTGTGGACACATTACAAACTCTACTGATGGAATTCAGTCTGCATCAAATGAAGGACTAGACACATGATACTAGTTAGTAACTTGTGCCTAATTAAAGGAACTGGTTATTTTCATTCCCTAGATTTTATTTACTATTTATGAAAGTTATACTGATAAATATTTTTATTTCAAACTATTAGAAAGCATTTCAATCAACTTTTAAATAGTAATTATTTAGGTAACTTGCGTAGGCTCCGTTTGTCTAGATTGTTCGATTACAAATATGCATCTAATTTCCACTATCATATGATCATTTTGATATACATGTAAAACTTGGACACTGAGGGAGTATTTAATTTCGTATTAATTTGTTTATTTGATATATCACACATTCAAACATTATTATTCACAGTATTATTACTAATATTTATTATCAGTAAATACATTTTAAACATTATTTGACTTATGGTCTTCCTGTTCTCAGACTGATAGGTAAACTTACACGAATTTTGCAAACTAAAGTAAGTTTCCAAAAGAATTGTATTTTCAATATTTGGAATATCTCCTAAATATCTACGTCTATGAGCTCCATTCCGGATAAGCAAAACTAGAGCAGGAATAGAATGGCTACAAAAAGTCTGCTAAATAGAAAAAATTCTCAGAATAGTGGAAAAGTTATACACTATCAGAAAGGAAGTCAGTTAATTAAAACACCAACTGATGGAGATAGTTAACGACAACGATTATAATCTCACAATACAATCCTTCAACAATGACAAATTAGCAAGATAAAAATTCTGGAATCATTGTAGTGCAAATTTCTATCTGAAAATGATGAGCACAGCAATATGTGGTCGTCGACCATTAATAAATCAAAGTGGATCATCAGTCTCTCAGCACAGGACTTACAGAATTAAGTGTATTGGAATGAAGACTACATTTCATTGTAGCAGTGGACAAGCTGAAACCTGGAGTTGTTATTCCAAAAATAAAAATAACACAAAATAGGACGGATAAAGCAAATGTAGATGAAGTATCAGCACAATATGCAGTAACACTAAGACGAAAGAGAGAGATAAACTTGATGAAAACAGAAGCAGAAGCCCTAAATAAGCTTAGAGATAGAAAGTGTATGGTAATTACTAGATCAAATAAAATCCAGCAAATAATATTGTTTTACTGTATGATACAAACTAATGTGGGATTATATTTAATTGATGTTGTTTATTTGTCAGTACAACAGTCATTTTTTATTGTGTTTTTACCCCACAAATCACGCACACATCTCTTTTCTTTTGTTTTATAAATTTATTAGGACTTCATCGTTTTAAAAGAATCATTGGGGGACAATCAGTGCCACGTGGTACCTATCCATGGGCAGCATCAATTCAAGCTAAACGGCACACATCATGGACAGCTTTAGTAACAGGCACAGAACAACACTACTGTGGTGCTGCATTAATTCGTCCTGATTGGGTAATCACAGCTGCTCATTGTCTGTATGATAGAGAAGAAGATGATGAAATGATAAGGTAAACTTGATGATAATTTTATATCAAGTGTTCGGTTTGCGGGAGATTTGATTGGTTTCAAGTTAGATCGAGGATTGATCTCAGTCAGGGAATCATTGAAAACCAGAGAGTATTGGGCAAATTTTTCGTCCTAGTTTGGGAATCTTTGGAAGTACGCAACCATGATCTCACTAGGGATCAAATCGAGGACGTTTAGATTCAAAAATGAACTTGTCGATCATTTAGCCCCTGGGATGGAATCAACTAGTTAATTATATCTAACTTTTGCCACTTCGTGATATATAGTACTGCCGCAAGCCAGTGTCATTGGCGAGTATTTTCCCCTACTTCGAAATAGGTGGTCTCTCTACATATGCGGGTAGCTTCGTCCTGCAGTTGTTTATTAGTAAGGGTTCGATTGATTTCCAGGTTTTGGTTTGCGAGGATATTTCCACTCTCATTTGAAGTTTTGAGTAGCAGGCGTTGAGTAATAACCTTTTCAAACACGAGTTATCTGCATTATTCATCACAGTTACAGTTTTTGTGAATAGTATGTCTGTTTTGTCCTTTTCGTTCTTATTAGATTTACTGAGAGAATCCTATTATTTTTGGTCTTATTTAACCCTAGCTATACAAAGAAAGGGACTGACTGTGTAAGGTGATGAAGTTTGGACACATTTACACAAATGTTTTTGTTCATATGGTCAGCTACAAAATCGGCCATTTAAAATATTACTTAATCAAGGCTTTCATTATAACTCTTTAAACACACTGGATATCAGCTAGTGAACAATAAAAGTGTATTTTAGTAGTTATTCTTTGAGCTTTACTAAATTCTTTCTATTTGACTAGATACTAAAAGCCATCAGCACACTTTCTGGTCATATATATATCATGAATTTGTTCGTTGGTAGTTTGGGTGATTAGACAGTCAAGTGATATAACTATTCCTCACATATTATGAGTGGTTCTTAGCTTCATTCAATTTTCAGTCATGTATATAGATACTAATGACGATTTCTTTAAATTTACAGACCTAAACTTATCAGCTTGTACACCAAATACATAAATTATTGGTTATCGGAGTGTCAAAAATGAGTGGACATAAAATCCTCCTCATTTGAAAAGTGAAATTACAGCAGTCACTTCTTTGTTTTTTTCTTTATTCCAGTTATCTGAATCCTAAAATGTGGCATGTTCGAATGGCGACAGAAAAACTAAGTGTAAGTTAACAAAAAGAAAAATAACTTAATTTAAAAACTAAACTAAAATCTATTTCTTAACCAATCCTGAGAAACGATTCTTGTAAAATATCGGGATATTGTTGATAAAAAGTGTGCTTTGTCATGTCTCCTGAAAACTGAAGATTCCACTGTATATTATGCGCCTAAATTCCTTCATTCTCTGCGTTCTGACTGGAACGTAAGGCTACAAGCTTTAAAGTTTCAGTATCCGTGATGTTGCTTTCTTACGGAGTGCTGTCACAAGCCTTACACTTAACCTTACCTCTTTTCCTGGCTTCCTGCCAGCTTGCCAGCTAGTCGAGGTTTAGGAGTGTATCAGTCCCGGACATTATACGCCAATGTGTTGCGTGGTTGGAGAGCATTCTACCATTAAACCATAAGCGTGATAAGTGCTTGATTACCGTGTAAATGCTTCTTATTTAGCGAATATTTTTTTAAAGATTACTTTGTTCTAACTTTGAACTTTTGCCCCGCAAATATTACTACATATATTAACCTAGTTTAAGACACATTTTCGCGTACTGAGTTAGTATATAAGTTAGCTGTAGTAGTTGTATGCTTGAAGGAAATAGCCTACCCTTCCAGGACTAATGGAGTTAATTATGAGACCAAACTTCCAACTAAAATATAGTCATCATCAAGTTATATGCTGTGATACAGTCATGTATGGATGAAGTATATAATATTTATACAAAAGTGAATAATAAAACATTGAGATAATCTGTTCAATTATGCAATGTTTGCTTTAGTAGAAACATGCTACATTCAGCACTGGAGTCAGGCATAGTTATATCAACTATCATCAAGTGGCCTATTCCCGAGGTGAATAATAAGAAATCCGTTTCCTTTAGGTATCACATATAATTCACATATTCCGAAATAATAAGTATTGCAAAGTACAAAATCCACATTCGTCACTTCTAGTTCTGGATTCCACATGTAGCAATACGCTGTATTCTTGTTTGACTTTCCTCATCCCACTCTCACTCTAGATGCGTTCAAAATGGAAAGTCACGTTTCGATATCTTGAAAAATCATCTCGAGTGATAAGTAAACGTTTATGCACGGGGACAAGGGTCTATGAATATGTGAAACATGTATGCTTCTACATACAGGAATATAATAAACCTAACTGATTGGTGAAGTATTTAAAAGAATGAATTGTTTACAAACTTTTTCGTCAGAATACTAATTCTTCTTAGTATTTTAAATCACCTGACTAACACGAATTATGAGTATGGAATAGTATAATATTTGAAATCTCATCCGTTAGGTTGAATTTTATTTTAGCCTAAGAATTCCACAAAAACAAACTTTTCAACAACTTATCATCACTTTCTATTCACAAATGAAATCTATAATCTTCATCTTTCTCTTGAATGCTGATTCGTACTTATCGTACTTTTTAAACCATTTATTGCTTAAACAATTTGAGTAAAGGAGATACATATTTAGGAAGTGGTTCTAGATACGTATGAATGGTGCTCGTGGTCTGATTCTCTGCCAATGCACTCCTAAATCTCGCTTAGCCGGAAGTAAAAGTACAGTATAAAGGGAAGGTTGGGTGTAAGACTGTTAGTTTGACCCTGTAAATACACCATGACCACAACTACTGAAACTTCAAAGCTCTAACCTGAAGACCTGTGTCCCACTAAGGAACTCATAGGAATGAAAAGAAAAAAATAGGTTTGAATTTTACTGAAGATTGTTCATGAATAAATTGGCTTTTGAAGACTTACTGAATAGCTCAACCCAACGCAGTAACAATTGAACAACATGAATCCAAGTAGATGGTTCATATTAAAGAACTGAAGTGCAAAAGAGAGTTTACTCTACAGACTAGTTTCATACCTATTCAGAAAACTACATACTAGACAATATGGATCACAATTCATAACACATGCACACAAAGAATATGGAATAAAAACTACACTAGTTATTATTACTAATCACTAACATATCCGTATGTATTTATTATCCACTAACCCACCAATACTTTACATTTTCTCATATAAACAAAACTGACATTGTATATACGAAATGTGTATTTGTTTCTCAGTCAGCATATTTTATATGAGTGAAATGATAATTTAATTATACGAAATGAATCTTGTCAAATTATAAATTTGACCAAATTATGGTTACCAAAAATATATTTGTTTATGAAATGTGTACAAAAACAACTGATTATTGATTCATAATGTTAGCATACATATTGAACAAATGGAGTTTAAGTAATAGTTTTCACTGGTTAGATATTATATGTTTGGAGTTAATTAGTAATATGTATATACACTCTGATCTAGGTATTAAGCCGTCTAAAAACCACCCATTGAGAATGTTTCCTAACTTGTAATATTTCAAAATTTTGATATCACTCGGTATCATAATTTAGTAGATTATTATTTAAGGACTCATCTTAAACGAAACACTCAAGATTACACTGGTAATAATTCATATCTACAGTCTTCCATACCACTGAAACATAAATATTATGAAGTCTCTTCTTACCAATTGGTTTCTCCCAATATCATATTCAGTCAATCGGAAGAAAGGGTAACTTGTCAAGCTTCCAATGAAAAGTGACTTAAGCCTATGTAACAACTGGTACAGAATTGTCTTCTTGTCCATCCTAAGGAAAATAGGAAGCCCCATTGTTTTGGAACGATTAAAAAGTACCATGGATGCAAAACTACATCGAGAACAGGCTTGGTACAGGAAATGGGGTCGGAAGTGAAGTAGTTTGACTATATCTATAAACATCATTCTGCAGAAACACATGCCAAGGGATTCAAAACGGAAAGGCCAGGAAAGCGTTCACATTGAAAACAGGAGTAAGACAAGACTGCTAATTATCACCACTGTTCTGCTTCATTGAGGTGGACTGGATATTGTAAAGGAGAGTAAGATGATGGGCAAACGGCAAACCGACAAACAGACCCTAAAAAATTCAGATTTCGTGGATGATTATTGTCTTTTGTCTCGCAAAGTCGAAGATTTACAAGCGAAAACTAACATGCTGGAGGAAGAGTTAGCTAAGACTAGACTTCAAGTCAAAATAGAGAAGACAAAGGTAATGAAGATATCCAAACACCAACGAACAAAAAGAACCAATCAATATTAATGGTAGGAATACAAAGGGAGTCGTCTCACCTAATTACCTGAACTGAGCAGTATTGTCTCAACTACATGTGGTAAGGATGAGGAAATCGAGAATGGCAGGCGTCCAACACTCTGACATCAGAGTACGGATCTATCGCACTGAATGCAAAGAAACAGCAGCCGAATTGCCGATACGAATGTCAAGCGAGTGCCTCTAACTGGTTCAGGAACTTGACACAAGTGTCTTCAGAAATATTTCCAGCAGCCTGTTACAGACTTTCAGCAACATTTGTCCTCGCTCGATACTGAAGATAAGATGGCAGGCCGGAAAGGATAAGCAATAAGGAACTCTGGAAGAGAACTAGTCCAGAATATACTGCTAAAAAATTATGCAAAAGAGATTCGAGGTGGATTGAACATCTGCTGAGGAGACCGTTGAGTGACATCATACAATCGACCATCAAGTGGTAAGTGGTGAAATATGTGTCAAAGGGCAACCCGAAGATCACGTGAAGAACAGATGAAAATTTGTGTGCAGTCTTACAGTCACGTTAAAATGATAGCAGAGAGTACATTACTATGGAAATGTGTAACTAAGGCCTTGTATTCAGCTCTAAATGCAAGGAATAAATAAATATAATAATATCAAATCACTATGGATTACTTGGCTTTTTGATCATATTTCATATCTAACCAGTAAATTTCGATCATTACGCTTACGATCTGACAGCTACATTATCCTCTACCAACTAAGTTGCAAATTAAATTATATTTTTCGAAACCAAGTTCACGTTTATTAGTTTTAAAAAATTTAGGTATTGGGTATATGATTTTTATCACTATAAAAGTTCTTTTATTTCACAATTAACGAAAAACAAAACGATATTGATTACCGAAATCAACACAAATAATAAACATGGTTGGAAACGTATTCCGAAGACACAGTCCTCGAAGGTTGTCATTCCACGTAGATCAGAGACGTCACACGATATCACAAGAGTAAGCAATAAACTCAACATCAAAGTTTTCTTCAAAACATCAGACACTAAAAAGCAGCCCTATTCATGTAAAAGACCGAATTCCAAATTATTCACAATCTGATTGTCTTTAAAATAAGATACTTCAAGTGTGATGCGACATACATCGGACAAACATCGCGAGAAATCAAGATCAGAAGAAATGAACACCGCAGAGCGTCTGTTCAACCACCGAGAAATCCAGTTGAACTAGAAAAGCTTGAAAAATCATCAGCCATAAGTGTACACGCCATGGAATTAGGCCACTAAAGTGATTTCGACAACATTGAAATAATCCAGAAAAATTTCAGAAATGAAAAAGAGCGTCTAAAATCAGAAGTAGTTCATATCAAATTGAATCCAAACTGTCTGAATAGGAATGATGTACTATGACAGAATTTTACCTGGTTTCAACATCCACTCACCCACGCCAATGAAGTGACTAAATCAGCATGAATATGATAAGCAATTTCATTTTGTAAACAAGTGATGCTTTTATAATTTTGTACACTTATCAAATCTAACAATCTGTACATGAGAAAATTAAAACAATTAGTCGATTTGATAAAATTGAATAAGGCATTAAGAAGACAAATTTCGCGAGATGATATCATTTCGTAGTTTCTTTACAACCGCTTTACAACTAACATGGTTAACAATAATAAAATAAAGTTCACGACGATTACTCAGTTAAATAAAAAAACACAAAAGTACATACTAATGACCAATCATATTTAGATAGGTCATGTAGTTCAGGGTAGGCGAACACTGAAGTCTATTGACTTTTGTACACACAGTTTAGGCTGTATGTGATTAATCCAAAGTGCTTCCATCACCTTCAATAACCTTGAATTAGAGTTA